CGGAGCCTGTCATTGCCACTTTGCAAATGCATCAGTTGTTGTCTTAGACTCTTTTGCTCATATTTATTGAAGAAATTTGGATTCGATACATATGTCATAAGATGAATATTTAGTTGCAGATTCTCACCTGGATATCCATTGTATAAATCAAATATTTGATGTCAGTTGTTTGTAATTAGAATAGTAATTATGTAATAATTAGTTACACATCTCAATCTGTTCTTGTTTTCAAATTATGTTACAAATCATGAGATTTGAGCTTGGTTGGGTTATAGCCATCAGCTGAGATTTACTATTAATTTACAGTTTACTTTTTTTTCTCCGATCTTTTATATAATACTCCGCAAATTTCTGTTTTGCCCCTTGTGAACTGTCCATATTGCGAGACATCTCAAGCCAAGGAGAAGGGTGGGCAGCTCTCCTCCAAACTGTAGTGAGCACACACGACTGACAGGTACAAATTTGTTTCATTCGCTCTCTGGAGCTTCACAGACTAAACTGCCTGAGGTCTAAGGTCTTGGCAGGAACACTGTTAACTAACTATCAGGGTAAGCAATCAGTGTTATGGATACAGAAGGAAATGGTATTGGTGGCAGGAAGCCTAGAGTTCCTCCTGAAAGTCTGACATTTGCACGATGGCGCTGGAACAATTGTTCAAGCCAATCATTAAAAATACTTGTATTTTGGGGGAAGGATTTCATTTTTATTCCCATCCTGAGTCCATATGTAATTTTTCACTACTTTTCCCATAATAGTCTTGCAGTTTTCTGCTTAAATTTCTTCCCCAATTGTTGTAATTGATGTCCATAAAGCGTTACATGCGTAGAAATGTTGGAGAAATTGCGAACAACGTGTGTGTGTCCTGTAGAACACACTGATGGAGGTAGACTCACTTATTTGGGATTTGCCATTTATTCAGTAAGACAGTAGCGTTGGACACAGTCTGACTCTCAATGTCAACCCACAACTCCCCACCTCCCCCACCCCTGAAATTTCCGCTGGGCATAATAGTGAATAAGAAATAATTGTTAATAGGACTGAGCTCCTTTGGAGAGCCACGTGTGTCTAACTATGATGCTGCTTGGCCTGCTGTGTTCATCCAGCCCTGCACCTTGTTGTCTCGGATTCTCCAGCATCTGCAGTTCCTACTATCTCTGTGTCTAACATATTACAGTTTAGACATCACTAGTACACAGTATACAAGATGTAGTTTATATGATGTTGGGTGTCAAGAACTGTACATTACAGTGTGCCTTAGCTAGCAGATTACCCATGCCACTGACTTTGGAGAGCCGCTGTGGTTTTACGATATACTGTAAACTACCACTCAATGACTTTCAGTGGTGCCATCTGACACGTGTCAGTAGCTTGAGTTACTTGGTGCCAGAGTTTACTGGCAGAAGGTTAGCACAATGCATGCTGCATTTTGGATCATTTCTCCTGTCCCACCTAAGGAAACACATGACCTGCTCAGGAAGAGCTTGAGGAGGCAATGTGCTGGTTATGGGTCATTAACACCTTTAGTGACTTTGATTTTGATGTCATGAAGTATCTTCTCTAAGCAGGAGTGCATTTCTCGTCATACCCAAAATGTATGCAATTGCATCCTCTCCACTGCAACCTCTGTGAACTCGGGTCCGGCTGTGCAGATGAATAAAGACGTGGCATGTTATTAGTTAAGCTGCTCCTGTTTTAGTTTTTGTTCTTTATAATAATGCTTCAGAAATCCACATGCCCTTGGGTGAAATGGAACTCCCTGTGCAAAAAACACTTGCTCGGCATTCAGATTTGAAGTGTTTATTTTGCTTTCAGAAAGAGTTTGTCATCTTTTAAGGTGTTCCAGACAATGTGCTATCTTCTCTAAGTCAGTGGTATCTTCCGCTGTGAATGAACCTCCAGGCCACAATTTTTAATTTAGCTTTCTAAAGAGTCCTTGTTATCTTACTTAATCCTGGCATTAACATCATCAGCAGTTGCACAAACCGAAGAAGTGGAATTTCGGATGTCAGCTAGAGAATTGCAAAATTGAAAAACTTATTAATGGATTTAGTTTCCGTCTTGCTGTTTGAAACTAGGATGGGTAGCAATCATGAATGTTTGCTGCCACTGATGCATATAACCAGTAACAATTTACATTCACATAGCACCTTTACACAACAGAGAGTGTTCCAAAGCATTATGTAGTGAAGAAATGGACACTGAGAAGTAGGAGTGCTGGACTTCTGAGACAGTTTTAACAGAGGAGAGAAGTAGCTCATGGAATAGTTCAGGGAGGACAGTAATTGGTGATGAGGTTTCTGAAACCTCTTCTGTGAATGTGCACGAGAATATTGAATGACTAGAGGCCTCAGTGGTAGACTGGTCATTTGCATATGAAAATTTGGATTTACTGTGTTGGAAGTCGGGAACTAATGGAGCTTGGTGAAAAAATGGTAATAGATTATTTGGATTTTACTATAGGACAGGATGTAGGCAACAAACCTTTAGGCAAGTTGGCGATTATCTAAAGTAGAACTTGTGGAAATTGTGAGGGGTGTATGAAGACGTCAAGCCTGGAAATCTCAAAATCTTGAATAAGGGTTTCAGTATTGTTGAGATTAAGGCAGAGGCAGTTGACGTTATTGAGATGACGATAACATTGAGGGTAAAGAATATGGATTTGACACCAATTTAATAAGATCATGGCAGCCACTGTTGAGTTTAGTCTGAACATGTTACAGAGGCAATGGTACAATGTTTTCGGCAGGTGATGAATGTGGAAGTGTCAATTAATTTGAAGACCATTAAATAAGACAAAGTTCTGACTCATCCAGGTCTTGGTATTGGGCATGCAGTCTCTTAGTATAGTGATGCATGTGGAGTCCACCTTTCGTGGCAATTTAATAAAATTAAATGCTAAAGCAAACACCTTTTACACAGCAAATGTTAATGACGTGGTAGACTGTGCTTATGAAGACAGTGAATGTGGAGATAATCAGTGATTTCAAAGATCCAAAGATGTGCAAGTTAGGTGGGTTGGCCATGCTAAATTACCCATATTGTTCAAGGATGTGTAGGTTAGGTGCATTAGCCATGGGATATGCAAGATTACAGGGATAGGGTAGGGGGATGGGTCTGTGTGGGATGCTGTTCGGAGGGTCGGTGTGGACTCATTGGGCTGAATGGCCTGTTTTTCCATACTGTAGGGATTCTGTGGAAACTAGATAGGCACTAGAGGTAAATGCACTTGTACGTAAGAGCCAGAGAGAGTTACTGGTTTAAGTTTCATCAGGAATTGGAATTCACTAAAAACTTGGGGAAGAAAAGCAATCCTTATTGCAGCTATGTGACCGTTATCAATTGTCGTACAAACCCATAATGTTGATTAATATCATTTCGGGAAGGAAATCTGCCATCTTTACTCAGTTGGACCTACAGTGACTCCAGACCCAGAGCAATCTGGTTCACTCTTAACTACTCGCTGGAAAATTAAGAAGGAGCAAAAATTGCTGGTGTAGCCAGTGATGTCTGCATCCCATAAACAAATGAAAAAGAATTGAAGATTGAAATGTAGTTTTTAAACTAGTGAAAGTACGGAGGAGACAGGAAGAACAAAGGTCTCTAATAGGGTGGAGACCATGGGAGATTAAATAACAATAACTAATCACTTATAGGGCTCTGGAGATCGAATGAGTGTATGGGACTGATTGGATGATACATAAAGAACCAGCATTGATTTGATGGGCTGAATAGTCTCCTTCAATGAGTCAGTTACTTGGTAACTTGTTAGCATATACGTGGAATGACATTGGATAATGTGATTTTAGGAGAATTCATAGGCAAGGATGAAAACTCTAGAACAAGAGTGAGGAGAAGCTATAACTGGCTAACCTGTAGATGTGCCATTACTTTAGTTGTGCTGCACGATGATAAATGTGCCAAAACCTACTGGGACCAGTATTCAGTCTGCCAGTGTATGATGTTTAGTTGTCATGTCGGATGTGATTCAAAGTAGTGGAGGTGGGGTTAACAAATGTTTTGTGAGGCTGAATTGGATAGATTCTTGATTGGCAAGGAAGTCAAAGGGTACAGGGAGTAGACCAGAAAGTACAAGCTATGACCTTGTTAAATTGCAAATCAGGCTCAAGAGGCTGAATGGCCTACTCCTAATCTGAAATCAAGGGTTATCTTGAGTGCTGTACAATCAAGTGCACTGGAAGGCGATGGATATCAACATTACTATTGTCCTGGGAGTGATACTGGTCTGGCTCAATCGTTGCAATGTTATTGTTTTCATATATGTAAGGTTGGACAACTGGTGCCAAATCACTTGCAGTGGACCGTTCTAAATGAACAAGTTTCATGTTGGCCATTTTCACCTAGTCATAGAGTCATACAGCATGGAAACAGACCGTTCGGTTCAACTCATCCATGCTGACCAAGTTTGCAAAACTAAACTACTCCCATTTGCCTACATTTGACCCATATCCCTCTAAACCTTTCCTATTCATATACCCTGACCAAATGCCTTTAAAGGTTGTAACTGTACCATCTACTGCTTCCTCTGGCAGTTCATTCCACACACAAACCACCCTCTCTGAAAAGGTTGCCCCTCAGGTCCCCTTTGAATCTTCCTTCTTTTCCCATAGGAGAAAATCCAATTTGTCCAATCTAAACTTCTGGCTAAAAATTTCTCATTCCTGGAACCGTTCTGGTAAATGTGCCCTGCACTGATCTCTCCGAAGCAGAAATTCTCGTTTGAAGTAGATGGTACAGTAGGTGGGAAAGTTTCGATGGATGTAGCCTTCAAAAGAACCATTCAAAGGGAACGTTTCTACGCAAGAGGCTCAAGTAATTGGGGCAAATTATTAACCTGGTTGGTGGTGGGTCGGGTATTTTTTAAATTGTGAAAATGGGTAACTACTATATATCAAGGTGAAAAAAGCAAGATTGAAGTTGTGGCCTGGTGAAATTCTGCTAGGATGTCAATTAATTTTTGATTTCATTTATTTCTTCTGTAGGGTTTTACCAGAATTTGAGAAAACACTTTGTACTCCACAAGAACAAGTGTTGGACACTCTAACTGGCTCCGAGTCTGGCTATGGGGACATGAAGTTGCCTTCCAGGAGCACATGTCGCTATGACCTTGATGAGGTTGATGTCTATTGGTTGGAACTGGTGAATGCAGAATTTCAGGGAGCAGGTATTGTTTTGTTCATTTCTAACCAGCGAGGGTAGTAGCTCAGGTATTGCTGACTTCCCCTGCTGCCGAGGGGTTTTCAAATTTAACAGCAACAGATCAGCACCCTGTTCGTAGATGTTCTTCAGTTTTCTCGTTGATTTTTCAGCCTTATCAACTTGCTGATGAGGTTCACAAACTTTCAACCTTTTAGCGTTCAGGGATTCTCCCTTTCTGCATGTAGCTCTCTTGTTGAATGAACTGGAAAATTCAACTTTACATTTAAAGAACTAGCTACAAATCTCTCGAGTACACTGTGAATACTAATCATCAGTAGGTGGAAGCCAAACCATTCCTATCTGTGGTGTACTCAAATATTCTTTGAAAGAGAGCTCTTGGGTGAGGACACACGCAGACACGGACACACACGCACCAGCAGATGCACACAAACACCTGTAAAAGGTGCTGTGATGTCAATCTCCAGTTTCACAGGCACTGTCACTCAGATGCAAAGAACTTTTAAAAGAGTCAGTGCAGTATGTATGTTGCTTGCTCCATTATAATACTTTATCCTTTGCAGGCTTTATGCATGGTACAGAGACTAGTTTATAGAGACATCACGTGCAATCTCACAAAATCAAGGAACTGTCACTGTAATTGTGATGCATTCTCCAGCTTTTAGGATTTATTGCGTGGCATGATGAAAGAAATCCTGAGAGTTTTTGATCTTTGATATTTTGGAGATTAGAATCCACTGAAGAAACTTTTTTTTGTCATGAAGTTTGAATTCTTTGTTGCATCAGAGCATAATCTAAACTTTACATGTTCAACATGTAACAAGTGTCAGCTTTTAAATAGATCCAATGTGTACCATCATGCTGATGTAAACCAAGGGTCTAGGCCCGAAACGTCAGCCTCTCTGCTCCTATGATGCTGCTTGGCCTGCTGTGTTCATCCAGCCCTGCACCTTGTTGTCTCTTGAGTTTTCATACTACTTGGTGTTGAGTGTGACTTCTCTGCAAATAATGAGCAGAACTGGGGTGATGTGACACCGCTGGATCTGAGGCTTTCAGGACCTTTGATCACCAACAAAATATGAATTTAAAATTAGTAAGGGCTGTGGGAAGAAAAAATATACTTCATTCATTCTGGGAAGTCCATTTCCAAGATTGTAGTACAGCCTCTTAAAATAAAAGCATCTTTTACTGAAAAATTGTCATCACAGGTTTTCAAGGTCACTGTAAATGTACATTGTGACTGAGAGCAATGCAAATTTGTCCTGCTCTATAAACGTTATACAATGCATTTAGAATAAAATCTGAAAGGTTAGTTGCATGCAGGATGTGTCCATGTACTTGGGAATGTTCATATAATTAGTGTTAATCTGCCTGAGGGAAGTGGATTTGAGATGAATTTTCCTATCAGCAATATTTAACTTACTTCATTAATCGAAGTAACGTTGATGGATTAGCACTAGTGTGGAAATAAAGCAGTTTGGAAAATCACTAGTGGCATACTTTGCTTTGCTGTTTTAGTGTTTAGATCTTAAGGGAGCAGTTAGCAAAGCTTCATAAATGAGGTATTGAGAAATAAAGCAGGGAGGTTATTCTGAAATAAAAATGTTGAAGATATTCAATGGGTCAGGCAGCAAATCTGAAGAGAAATAGAGATAACATTTCAGGTCCTGATGGTGTTTCATTTTTTATTCATTCACGGGATGAAGGCATCGCTGGCCAGGCAGCATTTACTGCACATCCCCAGTTAAGAGTCAACCACATTGCTGTGGGTCTGGAGTCACATGTTGGCCAGACCAGGTAAGGATGGCAGTTTCCTTCCCTAAAAGACATTAGTGAACCAGATGGGTTTTCCCGACAATCGACAATGGATCCACGGTCATCATTAGATTCTTAATTCCAGATTTATTTGTTGAATTCAAATTCCACCATCTGCCGTGGCAGGATTCAAACCTGGGTCCCCAGCACATTGTCTGGGTCTCTGGATTAACAGTGCAGTGATAATACCACTAGGTTATTGCCTCCCCTTTTAGAACATCAGAAGTGATGCTGAACCAGCGTAAAGCTCTGGTTGAATCACGTTTAGAGTATAACATCCAGTTCTGACCCCCACATTTTGGTAGGATGTGAGGGTCTTTGAGAGGGTGCAGTAGACACTGGCATAATTCCAGGTTTGAGAGATTTTAGCTACAAAGTTTGGAGAAAATGCGTTATTCTCCCTGGAGCAAAGGAGCTTAGGTGGGGGATGGGGAGGTAGCATTTTATTTCATTTCTCAATTAAAATTAAGATTGAGCAGTTTTCCTGTTGAGTTTACATACCTCCATAGCTACCCACGTTTCTACTTGACATAAAGTTGTTATTTCCAAATGAAAATCCCCATTATTTTGGCTGATAGTAGATCTGAATGTTCACTGATGCAATGTGAATATACTGTTTCAAGATTTAATAGAGTTTTGGGAGGACAAAACTTGGAGCTTCTTTGTGTAACATTTACGTTCGGCTGTGAGTGCTTAATGCTGATGCTGGATGCAAATAGTGGAAGAAGATTCATTGCTTAAAAGTCGTCATCTCTGTTGACAAGAAACCATCAGTTGTTTTCACTCTCTACGTAATGCATTGTGTCCCTGTCCTTGAGCCAGGAGGCCTGAATTCAACCACCTACTCCAGAGATGTGTAATAATGTCTCCGAACAGCTTGTTTAGAAAGGAAGGATATTATTAAGCTGGAGAGGGTTCAGAAGAGATTTACCAGGATGTTGCCAGGAGTGGAGGGTTTGAGATTTAAGGAGAGGCTGGATAGATTGGTACTTTTCTCGCTGCACTGTAGAAGGTTGAGAGGTAACCTTTTATAGAGGTTTATAAAATCATGAAGGGCATAGATAAGGTGAATGCCAGGTGTCTTTTCCCTAGTCTGGGGGATTTCAAGACTTGGGGGCATATTTTTAAGGTGAGAGGAGAAAGATTTAAAAATGGCATGTGGGGCAACTTTTTTACACAGTGTGGTTCATGTGTGGAATGAACTTCCGGAGGAAGTGGTGAATGTGGGTACACTTACAACATTTAAAAGACATTTTGATAAGTACATGAATAAGAAATGTTTGGAGGGATATGGGCCGAGCTTAGGCAGGTGGGGCTAGTTTAGTTTGGTCAGCAATGGTCAGGTTGGACCGAAGGGTCTGTTTTCATGCTGTATGACTCGACAGTTATGGCTGTAATGCTTTGGTTTGAACTTACAAGAGGAAATTACCACTTATGACAATGTATTTAATATGCTTTCATTGTCCTCTATGGTACTACTCAGCCCAATTCACTGTCACAAGCAACAAGTCATTTGCAAACACTCGAATGTCACCTGATATACAGTTCAGAATATTTGCCTGCAAAGAGAAGGCTCATCAGATATTTATCTAGTTATTAACTAGATTGTTGATTGCCATATTTTTCTAATAACTGCAAAGTAATTGAGCAGTTTGCACTTTGTCATGCTAATTACATATTGCTCTGTGGAAATGCTCTGGCGGAAAACATTGCTAGTGAAGCACAATTAGTTAATTGGTAATAGTTAAGGAATGATGTATCTTAGCTGTTACGGCTCCAATTAAGTAATTGCACCTCTACACAAGTACCCTCTGAACAGCTGAAATCTGCAGTATGATCGTGGGAAATACATTATCACTCTGGGTCATTGCTGCTTTGGAATATGCAATGAATATGAATTTTGTACCTGGCGTGTGATTTTTGTACGTGTAGGAGAGTAAGTTAGATCGGTCTGCATTTATACTGCACTGAGTTTCCCCGAGTTTCACATTTATGTTCTGTTTCTGATTGAAGTACAATACATGGTTTTCCATCATGCAGAAGAGGGTGAGATGGAGACCAGGAATGCAAGATTATGTTTGCCATGAATTTTACAGAAAAATAATTAGTGTGGTCGGTTAAGGATACTTTGGCTTATCATAACTATATAATTTTGAAATGATAAATATAGACTGAATAGGTGCAAACCACAAAATATAAATTCGGAAAATTCCATGGTATTGTAGCTGAGACGACATTTGGGAGGTTATCATGTGCCAACTTCATGGAGAGCCTTGAGTCTCAGTGTCTGCAATGTCTGATGATCTCAAGTCTGTAAACATCCCATGAGAGTTGAGATGATGTTATTCCCAGATAATCATTTCCAGTTAACCAATGTTCTACTTAACAGAAAATCTAAAGTTTTCTTGAAAAACTCTAATTATGTTGGTTACTGCTGAAGATGCTGGTAATGTACAGGAATTAACGTTTAATTTCTTTCCCATTTGGACATTGGTTGATGTAAGATTCACTTAGAACCTTCAATTTTTTAAAAAATTCTTTCATGGCACATAGGCATCGCTGGTAAGACCAAAATTTGTTGCTAATCCCGAACTGCCTTTCAACAGAATGACTTGCTCCATCATTTTAGAGGGCATTGTTGTAGGTCTGGAGTCACTTGTAGGTCTTCTCAAGTAAGGAGGGCAGACTTCCTTCAATAAAAAACTTTTTTACCACAATTGATGAGAGTTTCATGGACACCAGCGCTGAGACTAGTTTTAATGCCATTTTTATTAAGTGAATTTAAATTCCATCAGCTACCTTGGTGAGATTTCACCCCTTTCCCCTAAACCATTTGCTCAGACCTCTGGAATATAGTGCCAAGACATTGCCATTATCTGCTGCTTCCTCCAGTAGCATTATGTTTACTATGCCTCCATGTTGTGTTATAATAAATGACCTGGTTAATGATTGTCTGCAGTATTTCAGTGCAGTAATTTTGATCCGAATAAATTGTCAAGAATCCCAAACCCCTGGATGCAGTTTGCACTTGACTGCTGTTCATCTCTAATACAAAGAACAAGGCATGGTTTTCTGACATGACCAGAACACACCACTGACTATGATTGAGTTTCCAGGGTGAGGTTGTCTGGGTAATGTTTTTGGAGCATCTTGGCATTAACTGGAAAAAGCGCTTGAAGTGATGCATGGAAA